AGAGAGAGAGAGAGAGAGAGAGAGAGAGAGAGAGAGAGAGAGAGAGAGAGAGTAGCAAAGTTGAGCGTAGTAGCCTAGAGTAGCGTCGAACGTAGAGAGTCGAAGTCGAGCCCAGCAGCGTAGAGAGCCAAAGTCAAGGTAGAGAGTCGAAGTCAACGTAGAGAGTCGAAGTGGAGCCCAGTAGAGTAGAGAGTCGAAGTTGAGGGCAGTAGCGTAGAGAGTCGAAGTCAAGCCCAGTAGCGCAGAGAAGTCATAGCCAGCAGAGAGAGAGAGAGAGAGAGAGAGAGAGAGAGAGAGAGTAGCGAAGTTGAGCGTAGTAGCCTAGAGTAGTGTCGAACGTAGAGAGTCGAAGTCGAGCCCAGTAGCGTAGAGAGTCAACGTTGAGGGCAGTAGCATAGAGAGTCAAAGTCAAGGTAGAGAGTCAAAGTCAACGTAGAGAGTCGAAGTGGAGCCCAGTAGAGTAGAGAGTCGAAGTTGAGGGCAGTAGCGTAGAGAGTCGAAGTCAAGCCCAGTGGCGCAGAGAGTCCAAGTTGAGGGCAGAAGCACAGAGAGTCGAAGTCAAGCGCAGTAGCGTAGAGTAGCGTCGAAGTTGAGTGTAGCCAGCGTTGAAGTCTGTAGCCGAGTAGGACGGATAAGCTTACAGTAGCGTCGAGTGTCAAGGTCGAGTGTAGCGTTAGGGGCTCCATTTCTTTGTGGCCCCGCCTTGCAAAAAAAGTTAGTCACATCACCCCCGCAAATGTACCGTGCAGATGTTGGCCTGGGGAGTGCCGCACGCGGCAGTACCGGGCCAGGGCCTACCGACCCAGTGCTGCATGTGTACCGTGCAGATATTGGCCTGGCACTACCAGGCAAGGGCCTACCTACTACCGGGCAAGGGCCTACCGGCCTGACGATAATCTCCAAAACAATCAACACGCAATCTGAACCGTGTGCTACAACGCCAACGACGGTCCAGATTGCGAGTTGATCACATAAAATCCGATCAGCAGCCAATCGGGACCGTCGAGCCTCAAGGAAACCCAGGGCCCTGATCGGCTGTTGGTCACAGGCGGGCAAATAGCGATTGTTATAATGTAGTGATGTACCCGTTCGGGGTCACATCTTGCACCAATGATTGCATCTGGATTTGAACTCTGGTCTGTACTTCAGCACTTCATGGTTGTGCCATCTTAGACACATCTTGCACCAATCAAGGGTACAAAGATACATATAGTGAGACTGCGCATGCTCATGTTTTTTCAATCCCATAATGATCAGTAATTTTGATTCTTGTTTCTTTTGCTAAGATGGCTGTAGTGCATCCATGTGAAAGGTAGAAACTACTAGGAAGGTACTAGAAAGGTACGAGGAAGGTACTAGAAAGGTACTAGAAAGGTATTAGAAAGGTACTAGAAAGGTATTAGGGGCCCTTGAGAAGTTCCGTTCAAGATTTGTATTTCAGAGATTTCCCCCCCCTTTCGAGAAACCCTCCTCTACAGCGGATTAGGGTAAAAAACAAGCATGATTGCTCTGCAATTGAGTTAGGGGAAATTCTGAGAGTCCCTTAGAATAAAAAAAGAACTGCCTGCAATTCACGACACAGAGTTTTGTAATTTCTTGGCTATCCCCGTTGCAACTTGCAAGGAAGCAAGAGATTGCAGCATACCCATTGTACTTTGAGACTTTGAGTGCACTGTAATATTGGCACATATCCATTGACTAAATGCAAAACATTTCACCAAAAAGAACTAAAAGAAAGAGAGCACTTCCGAAACGGACGAAGCGAAGGGCATACAACACGAGGCACACAAACTTTTCTTTGAGAGTATCTATTTAACCACCGCATTCATCCCACAAGGCCTAGGAGGGGGCGGGGGGGATCGGCTAGACAACAAAAGGCATACATGACGAATAACGCCGGAAGATTAGGTGACGGAAAAGCTGGAGAAAGCTTTCCGTGCAACAAGGGGTTATCAGGTTTTGCATTCATGTTATTCACGATAAGTCTCCGCAACAGGAACATCATTGACGGCCCTCAAGAACATAACTTATGCTACAAAAGGCAAACCAAAAAGTGAAAAACAAATATAATGTATGCCGCATGGCTGTACCACTAAACAAGAGAGCGCAATAGACAAAGTGCAGCTCTGTGAGCATCCCCCAGCGTCCCTCACATAAGCACCATCTGGGTTTGGAATGCTAGTGGACCCACTGGTCAAATTATGGACCCACTGGTCCACTTCATGGACCAACATGCCTTTCTAGTACCTTTCTAGTACCTTTCTAGTACCTTCCTAGTACCTTTCTAGTACCTTTCTAGTACCTTCCTAGTACCTTTCTAGTACCTTCCTCGTACCTTTCTGGTACCTTCCTCGACCCTGTTGGAAGTTATTGGTCCCGCTGGTCCACTTCATGGACCGACAGTTCCACTTCGTCGAGCCACATGGTTCCACATATATGACATGACTATATTCCTCAGTTTGGTTGACTTTGTCCATGCTGACGCTTGTATTTCGTGCTGGGCATTTTGGCCCATTCGTAATTTCGCGTGAATCATGCACCCTGTTGTATGACGTGCGCTTGTATTTTGGGCTGGTTACTTTGATCCACTCACGAGTTCACATGAACGATACCCCACTGTTGTATGACGCGATTATACAGGCTTTGTCCGTCTGTAAGCTTTACGTCAGCCTCACAGTTGTTACCTAAGTTCCATCTTGCGCTTACTAAATTGGGTCGCTGTTCTGAGGAGGGGAAGGGGCGGGGGGAAGGAGGGTTAAGACAGACAGACATTGGCGCGCAAGCACACACACACACACACACACACACACACACACATTTTGCATGCATGCATGCACACTATTGCAAGTCTGTTTCTTCTTGTTCTGTTACGAATACGTTATTCACACACACACACACACACACACACACACACACAAGTCCGTTTCTTCTTGTTCTGTTACGAATATGTTATTCACTTAGGAGAATGTGGTTGCTGGGTTTTGAAGCTTATGTGTGAGACGCTGGACCCAGTTTCCAGCACGTGCTGCGCCCCACCAATAGACAAGCGCCAAGGACGTGGGCTACTACTGGGGGATGCTCATACCACTCCCATTAGTATCCCACACCTTTAAAAAAAAAAAAGACTTTGCGGTTGCCATGTTTGTCTGTGTGTGTGTATGTGTGTCCGGGGGGGGGGGGGGGGGGG